TCACATCAGTATTATTATTTATTATGATTCATTTCATTAAAAAATTCGACAAAATTATAAAAAAATCATATTAATATTTATTACTAATAATAAAAATAATATACATAAATTATTTCTTCAAATAAAGCATTATGTTTTTAACTTAAATGGCAAAAATTTTCAATAAATTACTGCTTTTATTTTTAAAAAAACCATTTATTTTACCAATTTTTTAAAAATAAATTCATAATTATGCACAATAAATTAATATATAATTATATATATTTTTAAATTTTTGAATATAAAACTCTTATCTACATATAAAACTCCTAAAATCTAATTATATGATTTTAAAAAATAAAATTTTTTATTGTCGGCTCCAATTTGAGAGAACCATTTTTGTCGATTTTTAATATTTTTAAAAATATTAATTAGTTAAAATTAATTTGCTATACGTGGGAAAAGAGCGTCATTTAAGTGTAGCATTAACGTTAGTTGGGGGTGGGCCAACACTTCCTTTGCTTTATTGCTACAGTGCCCTCTCTCATTTCAGTCCCACTCTCACTCTGCCTCTGCTCTGCCGTAAGGTAGCATCATCCCTTTCTTACTGCAGATCTCGGAGCTACATTTCGTCCCCCATTATCTCGTTCTGGCTGGCTGAGGGCTTCTATCAGGTTTTTTGCACCAAAATGTTGGACGGGGAGTTGTGGAAAATCTAATCCTTGGTGGATCTCACTGGTAAGCTTCAGATCTGGGAGCTCTATGTCCCTTTATTATGTTTTTCAATTCTAGCATTTACGGCTGATCTGTTTTGCTTTGCCTGGCATCGATATAGTTGGATTTCCTTGGATACATTGAGATTTTGGTGCCGGATTCAAACTCGCATGTATGGATCTTGATTTAGAGAAGGCCGATTGGGTTGATGATGAAGCTTTGTTAGGTTGAGCAGTGTTTCTTTACTTGAAATGCCGTGAAATTAGATTTTTGAAAAGTTGAAGTTTACCGAGGAATTTGTAGTACTATTTGTGATGATAAAAACTTGATTCCTGTTCTTTAAAAAAAATAAAATAAAATCTTTGTTATGGTGCTAGCACCCAGTTCTGAAGAACATTGGTTAGCTATGAAGCATTTGGAAAATTTATGCTCAAATTGTATGTGTATGAGAAGTTTTTTACTTCATTTTACTTCTTTTTTTTTTGACATTAAGTACAAAAATGTAATCAGAAGCTAAAAAAAAAGGGCATTTGTGGATACGTAGTACGATACATAATATCATACACTAAAGGAAAGAAAACTAGTTATGATATAATGTTTACTACTTCGATTTTATGCAATGGATATGGATTGTTTCAGGTTCCAGAGTACAAGCAAAATTCATATTTATTAACTAGCTGTTCTGAAATGGGGAAATCTCCGGGGAAATGGATCAAAACTTTGCTTTTTGGGAAGAAAGCAACTAGATCCAACTTATCCAAAGGAAGGGAGGCCTCGGTATGAAGTTCTTTTCTGATGCTTTTTCTCTGAGAATGCATTCCATTTCCTTTTCTTTCTATTGAGCTCTGGTCTCACCATGTTCTTCTCATTTTATAGAGAATTAATTTTGTTTGCTCTTGAAGTTATAACTACTTGCTAGTTACTCATATAAGCTATCTGTTTACTACATTTTCAGATTATTCCACTAACAACAACAACAACAAACCTTTGTCCCACAAACCTTCAGGCTACATTTTCAGATTTTCTAACTTGGTCAATCAAAATTTGCCGGTTCTTAATGAAATGCAGTCTTCAAATCTCATGTTAAGATGGGTTTGTTAAGTGCATACTGTTCACCTACTTTAGAGTTGCTGCTTTAATGTATGGAGTGGCCTCTCAATTTTTGAACTTTTCTCTCCTTGTTTAAGTTCATCTATATCTTGCTTAGCTAGAAGGGTGTACAATTTGGATACAAGTTATTTTTAATTTTAATCTATGCCACTAGCATTTCAAGTTTCAATTTTGAATTTTGGATTTATTCAAGCTAAATAAATGAATGCTATTTTAGGTTTTGATTTTTATAAACATATGCTGAGCTATTGAGTACATGATGTTTTTAGGACATTAGAAATCTAATGCTAAATCTAGTCCTTCTAACGCTTTTTGGCTAGTCAGTTTAGTTTTTTTTTGGAAGAGCTCTCTAACTTCTATGTGCATTGAGTTTCTCATTTTTTTTGTGGGATGATTTCTCTATTTTCTTTGTTAGATGAGCTCTTTGGGCTCTTTGTAGGACAAGTTCCCCGTTCTTTGCAAGACAAGCTGCCCGTGCTCATTGTGGGATGAGTTCTAGTTTATTCAATGCTTCATATAAGTTTTAAAACATACAAATTGTTGAATTTAAATGACGAGTTCTCTTGTCCTAAGTTCAATGACAAAATTTTAGTACTAGTATAATATTTCCTTCTCCTATGAAAAGACAAGAAAATACATTGAACTAGTTCAATTCAAAATTTGGAAGATTATAAAGTTTAAATGAACAATATCATTTTTTATTTGATTTCACAATAGGCTTTCTCAAGATGGTCCGAAAGGTTTGTGTGGCTTGTATTGAGGCTGTTTTGTTTGTTCTTTTCTCTTTGTTTTGCCAAATTTTCTAAATGTTAGTCCTGGTTGGCGAGGAAAAATGTCACGACTCGGCCTAGAGCTTGGAATTAATCAATGCGAGAATATATTGTCGGACGGTAACAATTAAAATTTTTTTATATTCATTTATAACTAACATGTAACAAATGAAAGAGCCACTAAAAAAAGAATTAAAATAGTATAGTTAAATTTTACCTCATTTTTGGTTGGCCGTGTCTTCCATAAATATTTTTTCTTTTATTGTTTATCTTTTAAATAAATGAATTAAAGCAATACAGTTAAGTTTTACCTAATTTCTGCTTGACCACATTTTCTATAAACATTTTCTCTTATATTGTTCAT